ACACACACACACACACACACACACACACACACACACACACACACACAAATTCCTACACATATAGTTGTGCATATATATGTATATGACAAGCATTTTGTCTGAAATATATGAACAACTCCTACAACTCAATAATTTTTTTTTTTTGAGATGGAGTCTCGCTGTGTCACCCAGGCTGCAGTGCAATGGCACAGTCTTGGCTCACTGCAGCCTCCACCTACTGGGTTCAAGCAATTCTCCCTCAGCCTCCTGAGTAGTTGGAATTACAGGTGTGCGCCACCATGCCCTGCTAATTTTTTGTATTTTTAGTAGAGATGGGGGTTTCACCATGTTGGCCAGGATGGTCTTGATTTCCTGACCTCATGATCCACCCACCTCGGCCTCCCAAACTACGGGAATTACAGGCATGAACCACCGTGCTCACCGCATAAAAATGTTTAAATGGACAAAAGACTTGACACTTCATTACAAAAGATATCCAAAAGCCTGTAAGCAGGTGAAAAAATTCTCGTGATCAGCAGTAACTCAGATGCCTGTAGATGGACCATTCTCACCACTGGTCTTCACTTCCAGGCTAAAGTCATCATTGGCCTGGCCTTTGACTGTGTGGACAGGATGGTTTACTGGACGGACATCAGTGAGCCTTCCATCGGGAGAGCTAGTCTACATGGCGGAGAGCCAACCATCATCATTAGACAAGGTAAGCGAGAAAACAGCATTTTCCCTTTTTGATTTTGCTTCTAGCAGCCCAGGTGGCCACTATGCCAGAAAAGCACAGCAAATTAAGCCCAACTTTCAGAAACGTTTCTCAGTCTTTTGTTGCATTACTATGATAAAGTACATGAAGGTCAGACACAGTCAACTCTTCGGTATTCAACCTCAATTCCTCTATTGAGGAAATTCCTCAATTAAGGATGCCAATTTCAACCAAGGATTCTGTGCATTTTTTTATGCCTACATTCAACCAATCAAGACTGTTTTACATGGATATGATTTATCTAGTTCAAAGATCATTACAACAAAAATCCAAGGACCTCCAAAAATTTCACTGTGCTGAAATGGTCAAGTATTACATGTTGCTTAAGTCAGTGACTCATCAACCAACTTGAGAATATTTTTGCTCATTCGACATTGTCATGCTGATGATATTTGTTCTGTGGAGTCATCTTGCGTTCTCTGCAAAATATTCACACCAAAGATACATCTTTAAAATAGAACAGCCTCATTTTGTATTTCTTTTCAATTGGCACTGAATGTACCTTTTTCTATTTTCAATGGAATGTTTCCCTAACAATTGATATTCTAGAAGGTTTCCTGTGCCTATGGAACAACCCCCTGAAGCATTTTTTTTCCCCTTCTTTGTTGCCTTCACTAGAGATGATGCAGCAGGAATTAAGCTGAGGTTGAATTAACTATGTCTGGCTTCGGATATAGACCCTGAACCCTTTTCTGGAAGCCAACAGGCTATTTAAATCATGTCTGCCAGTTTTCATGCTTTGGTTTAGTGAAAAACAGTTTGAAAATGCCTCTCTCTCTGTGTTAAAAATGTTCCTGTTATTATCTGCGATTTCATTTTAAAACCCAGTGGAAGAGGGGAATAGGTCATCGTTTGCTATTTCCTGTTGCTTTTGGAGCTCATAGTCATCCAAGAATTCTGTAAGCACAATAAGAAACATTCCAAGCAAAAGCCTACTTACTGTGAAAACACAGAATTAAACCAGAATGTGACCTCTGCAGAAGAAAGATCACTGGGAATAATTTTTTTTTTTAAGAGAGAAAAAAGTTAACTCCTTAGCGTGGTATAGGTTGGTGCTTCCCTAGTGAGTGACAGTGAGTTAGGTATCACTTTATTTTCTTCCTTATTTCATAACAGCCCCGAACCCCAGGCTTTTCTTTCTTTTCTTGAGTTATAATCCCAGCCAAGTATCTTGAAAAAGCATCATATCTTTGACGAGCGGTAAGGAATCCTCCTTCCTCGGACTTCACATGGAAGGATAAGATTTTTCAGACTATTCCCTTGGAAGAGTAGCTTATGAAGAAGTATTTTGAGTTGAGGGAGAAGGGGATTGATTGCTCTTGGGTTTCGGATCGGGACCAGGGCTGTTTCTAAGGAGATGACAGGCTCGGAGCTTCCTCCGGGCGCCTCACAAAAATACTCTCACACAGCAGCCTCTTCCCTCTGTTCTCTTTGTGTATGTCTGAGTGGCTCCTGTCTCTCATGCAGGATGAGAGAGCCAAGAGACAGGAGCTCCTTCCAAATATACTCCACAATGACTTATTCTGGTTCTATCTGAAAGCCAGAAGGGACGTTTGGAGGTCAGTCTCACTGTCCCTTTTCCTCTAGGGAATGTGGGAAATATTTTAATACTTTACAGATTTCTACTTTAGGTTTAGATAATAAAGACCTTGTTCAGGGAGGTTTCTAATTCTCAATAAACTTCCTCTGGTGGGCTTTCTTTCTGGGGGATCGGATGTGGCCAGCATCCATGCTCACCATCATGGGAGGCCTCTGGTGAAGGCTGATGCAAAGGGAAATGAGGGTCTGCATTGCTTGTATATTGACAAAAGAACACAGTATTGGGGCCGAGTGTGGTGGCTGACACCTGTAACCCCAGCACTTTGGGAGGGCAAGGCAGGCAGATCACTTGAGGTCAGGAGTTCAAGACCAGCCTGGCTAACATGGTGAAACCCTGTCTCTACTAAAAATACAAAAAAATTAGCCGGGCATGGTAGCGCACGCCTGTAATCCCAGCTACTTGGGAGGCTGAGGCAGGAGAATCACTGAACCCAGGAGGTGGAGGTTGCAGTGAGCTGAGATCGCGCCACTGCACTCCAGTCTGGGTGACAGAATGAGACTCTGTATCAAAAAAAAAAAAAAAAAGAATGAAAGAAAAAGAACACAGTATTGGAATGGTTTTCTTCATAGCCCAGATCCCTCAGGTAGGGTAGCCTCTTCTCCTTCCTGCTTATACTCCAGCCATACTAAATAACCTTCATTCCTTTAATTAGTGGGGAGGAAAGAATCCTAAGTGATATCAGTAAAACCCAAATTGTTATTATTAATTTTTAAAAGCTGTAAATATAACACCAGTGCAATCTTGAGCTTCCAGGAAAGTGAGATGGGTGCTGAGGGTTCACAGTGAAGGTTCATGTTACCCAGTGGCAACTCCTGGCTTGAACATCGGTTGCTGTGACTCAGTAAAGACTCCTGGGGTGTTATTTGTGGTCACTGACACCCCTTCTTTGTACCTTTTATACTTGTATGAAAGTAGTAACAGCTATGATTTCTTGAAAGTATTATTTCTGTGAAATGACCTTTTTCCTCCGTAATTGATGAACACAATAGAACTATTTTTCCATTCCCCATCTTAAGATCTTCCTCTGCTTCCCCTCTGCCTAAGCTCTGAGTTCATTAACACGGCATTCTGACTTCACTCTGACCACTCCCCACCCCCACGGTCTCCAGCCATATGCAATGACATCCTGTTCATGCCACCGTCCCGTCTTCCTTTATACCTGCATGCCAATCCTGCTTCATAGACAATCCTCATGCAGGACTCTTGTCTGACAAACTACTATTGGTCCTTCAGCTGCCAGCTTCAACCAGTGTTGCCTCCCCCAGGAGTCCCTCCCTGATCTCCCCAAGCTGGGTCCAGTGTTTTTCCTTCGCTCTCACAGGACCTGGAACTCAGTGTCACTTGTGGTTGGCTGTGGGCTCATGGAAGGCTGGGCCACGGCTTAGTCATTGTTACTGCCCTGGTCCCCAATGCACTGCATGACGGATATCCACAGAGTGAGTGAATGGCATTTTTGAATTTGTCACTTTGAGGGTTGCTGACCTTATAAAATACCACAAGCATTTCACATTCCCATTTGGTTTCTCAAAGTGCAAGGATTGGACGCCATGTGAAATAACATTGAGTATTCAGAAAACCTCATCTCACTGTTTAGAAAAAAAACAGAGGAGCTCTGTGTTTACTTCTAGATCTTGGAAGTCCGGAAGGCATTGCGCTTGATCACCTTGGCCGCAACATCTTCTGGACAGACTCTAACCTGGATCGAATAGAAGTGGCAAAGCTGGATGGCACGCAGCGCCGGGTGCTCTTTGAGACCGACCTGGTGAATCCCAGAGGCATTGTAACGGATTCCGTGAGAGGGTATCTTTGAGTGAATATGTGTGTGCAACTCTTTGATTTGTATCTGCCCCTTTTAGAGATTCTCAGATGTGAGGCTCTAACGCCAGCATTGCGCTCCTGAAATTAATGAGTGCAGAATGAAAGAGTCTACAGTTGGTGACTTGTAGACATCCATGGTACAATGCAGGAACATGAACAGTGTGGACTTGATACCATGTCTCACTTTCAAATCTTTTGCTAAGAGACTTTATAAGTTGACATGCCCAGAAACTGGATATTTTCCATTTGGCTTCAATGTAGATCAACACTCAGGTTGTAGCAACTCCAGAAGAGCAGCAGGGCGGCCTAAATGGACCCCTGAGGCTGCTTTCTGGGGCAGACTCAGCCTGAACACCCTGGAGACCCCTTCCTATGGGTTTCTTCGGCACATCCCTGCCTTCTCTTCCTTCTTATTGCAAGCGCTACCTCTTACACACAACAAGCCCTTGGCTCCTCGACACTGATTCCTTCCCTTTGAGACCACAGCTCTTACTCTGTGGCCACTCAGCCGCCTCCTTGAAGGCAGGTGCTTTGACCACAGCCCCTGCCAACATCTGCTTCTTGTGCTAGCCTCGTCCCCTGCAGGAATTCCATGTATTTATGTCACTTACAGGCTTATACTTTGTTTGCTTTTGCGAACAGCTTCACTGAGCTATAACACGTCAGTTATGTAAAGGGGACCAAATTTGTTAGTAATGGAATCATCAAACTCAACTGAGAAACCAAATCCAAGTGTCCTTGCAAAAGAAAATGTGTTTTCTCCCCTCTCGATCCTTTCAGTGGTTCTGTGTTTTCATGTCTGCCAATCTCTTCATCGGAATTCTTTCCAAGTGCTTTTCGTGAGCTTTTTCTCATGCATCTCTATGATTTTTCTTCTTTCCCCACCTTTTCCTCCTCCAGGAACCTTTACTGGACAGACTGGAACAGAGATAACCCCAAGATTGAAACTTCCTACATGGACGGCACGAACCGAAGGATCCTTGTGCAGGATGACCTGGGCTTGCCCAATGGACTGACCTTTGATGCCTTCTCATCTCAGCTCTGTTGGGTGGATGCAGGTGATGGAAAGCTGGACGCTGTCCAGGGAGGGTCTCAATCTCCTAAGTCAGGGGTGGGCAAACTATGGCCCTGGGGCCAAATCTAACTAGCCACCTGTTTTTATATAACCCAGAAGCTCTGAATGGTTTTTACATTTTTAACTGGTACACTAAATGGTTGTATAGATACCTGTGTACTGTCCTTGGCTTTGCCTCTTGGCCTGCAAGACCTGAAATAATTTACTCTCTGGTGCTTAAGAAAAAGTTGGCCACCCCGGTGTTGTAAGTGGCACAGCACAGAGCCTGTAGTCATCCTGACACCACAAGCAATTCACAACTTGCATTCATTCCTCTCCCCTGGCTCGTGCCTCCCCAGCAGAAGCAAGACAGGAGGAAGGGACAACTTCCCAGTTTTTTTTTTTTTTTGTTTTTTTTTTTTGAGACGGAGTTTCGCTCTTGTTACCCAGGCTGGAGTGCAATGGTGCGATCTCGGCTCACCGCAACCTCCGTCTCCTGGGTTCAGGCAATTCTCCTGCCTCAGCCTCCCGAGTAGCTGGGACTACAGGCGTGCGCCACCATGCCCAGCTAATTTTTGTATTTTTAGTAGAGATGGGGTTTCACCATATTGACCAGGATGGTCTCAATCTCTTGACCTCGTGATCCACCCGCCTCGGCCTCCCAAAGTGCTGGGATTACGAGCGTGAGCCACCGCACCCGGCCAACTTCCCAGTTTTTAAGGGCAAGCCCCGTGTGTTCTCTCGGGTTTGTCAACGTAATGCTTAATTTCTCCCACTCTTGCCCTCATTACTCTTGTTTTTTTGTGTTTTTTTTTGTTTTTTTTTTTTTTTTGCACAAAGGGGCCATTTCTTGCATGAACAATGAATGACTTGTTTCCATTCCACACAGGCACCAATCGGGCAGAATGCCTGAACCCCACTCAGCCCAGCAGACGCAGGGTTCTCGAAGGGCTCCACTATCCTTTCGCTGTGACAAGCTTCGGGAAGAATCTGTATTACACAGACTGGAAGATGTACGTGGGCTACAGCCGTGGGGGTTGCATGGGCCTGCCCCTCCACCTACTGTCTCTGGGAGGCCAGGCCCTTCCCATCTGCCCTCTTGGTTGAGCCTTCAGAAATGTCCCCTCTAGAGATGTCTCCTCTCCCTCATTCTTCTTGTTGTCAGGAGGCAAGAGAGGGACTGAAGAAGGAGGGAGGACAAGGCCCTAAGGGACAGGAGGTGTCATTTGTCACCCAGATGCTCCTGACTGTGCGGTTTCAAGTCTTTAAACATGGGCTTCCTCAACACGTTGGTTCTTTCCCCAGGAGCTGGCCCGGGGTTGTGTGGCCAGTGGGCTTCCTGTCCACTTTATGTCCCTGCTTCATTATAGTTGTTAAACTGCAGGATTCCCACAGCCTCTTCTTGACCACCCCTCCTGCAAAAGAAGGCATTAAACTAAGAAGACAGCTGGCCAGGGGCATCTGTCTAGAAAACTCATTTCCTGCCTGGGATTTAGAGTGGGAGGGGGAGCTAGCTGGTCTTTATCTTCTTGTAAAAAGCCAGAAAAATGCAGGCTTGACCCACCCCAGGAGAAGGAAGGGATGTCTAGGAAGCAACGCCATCGTGTCTGCTTATGGCCTCCAGTTTATCCTCATAATGACAAAAGAGACTGCCCTGTAGATATGAGTTCAGGCCATCAGATGTGTTTTCACCTTCTGCCCTTTGGTGCTTTGTAGGAATTCCGTGGTTGCTCTCGATCTTGCGATTTCCAAGGAGATGGATGCTTTCCATCCCCACAAGCAGACCCGGCTGTATGGCATCACCACGGCCCTGTCCCAGTGTCCCCAAGGTAACTCTCTCGTGCTGTTTTACTGCTGGGGTACTGGGCGCACCTGGAGGCTCAGAACCCACACTCTGGCTGCTATGCGGATGGCCACTAGTAGCCTCGATTATGCTGATAGAGAGATGCAGTCCTTTGCATCCAGACTCTTCATCAGCAGGTGAACCAGTTAAATAAACAGAAAATATTAGGTCACAAAGTTGTCAGGATGAGGAAAAGTATTGAGTTTCGGGCTGGATATAAAAGTATAGGGTCTTTGGGTTCTAATAGTCAGATGAGGATATTACAATGTTGGGATAAAAGTCCATCCATCTGGCCTAACAGCAATAACAATAATTAATAATAATTGTTGCAAACATATGTGTGGCACTTACTGTGAGCTAAGAACTTCACATATATCAACCCACTTAGAGTCCTAAATGCTTTGTATTCATTAGTTCATGTTATCCTCATAGCAACCCTACGAGGTGGGTACTGTCATTATGTTCATTGCACAAATAAGGAAACTGAAGCAACTTGCTTCAAGTCACGCAGCTCACAGGGCAAGTCCAGGCAGCCTGGCCCTGGAGTCTGTGCTATGCTGCCTCTTGAAGACCCTTCCCATCACCCACTTTCTTTCTCAGCTTCCCTCCTCTTTTCCTGTCTGTGTGAAGCTGGGAGTGCAAGCTACATAGAGAGAACTTTGTACTTTAAAATTCCAACTCCATGTTATAGTCAGAGCTGAAGAACTCCCCTGAGATCTGTTTAATAGCCTTACTAGAAAATCTGAATAGCCCCCAAGTTGGGAATCTGTGTTTTTATCTGTCTGGTTTAATGCTGAGGAAACAGACAATGGATCAGCTCGGCTGACTGTCTAGCACAGTGGCCCATTCTCCTGAAGCCCTTCCTAGTGTGGCTTCATGGAAACTAAAAAGGGGTCACACACAATAAGAAGGACACTCTCTTAAATGGCGATGGAGTCAGGTCAGAGAGAGGGCTATTAAACTGATTTCTGCCTTTTCCAGGCCATAACTACTGCTCAGTGAACAATGGCGGCTGCACCCACCTCTGCTTGGCCACACCAGGGAGTAGGACGTGCCGTTGCCCCGACAACACCCTGGGAGTTGACTGTATCGAGCGGAAATGAAGACAAGAGTGCCTTATTTCCTTTCCGAATATTTCACAGCGACACTCTACTTGAAGCAACTTGGTCCAGATTGAAAAGTGTCCTTTGGCTGAGTGGCCACTAGGCCCAGACCCAGCCTAGCCTGAGCCCCAACAACTTTTCCCTCACTGTTCCCCAAAACATGCACCCTGGGATTCTCTAATGGAAAAGTCTCTACCCCTATGCAAGGACAGAACCCTCCACCCTTACCCCAACCCTCAGAAAGACTTATACACCACTGAGTGAGGATTATATGCCCATCCCAATGTCCTAGGACCTTTTCCCAATCCTAGGCCCCTAGTGGTGAGCAGAACCTCCCAAGTGTGAGTTGCATCCTTCCCTGTGGCCTTATGAGCTCAGTCTTACTTTGAGGCACGCACCATCCTGTCAGCTCTTTGACATAAAAGCCAAGGCTTGACTAGGAAAGGTTGGGAGTTGAGGGATTAGCATTCCTTAATTTTTTGTTTTGGTTTCTCTGAATTTCCTCTTTATACTCCTGTAGTTTTACTCCTCAGTTCCTCTCAATCGTCATCTTGTCTAAGACTCCCATTATAATGTGCATGCTCTGCTTTTTGATCAAAACCTACCCTGTCCTAGAGATATATGGGTATTTGGTTGGTGATAATGAGTAGCCCCTCCTAGATAGAATGCCAATATTTGAGAGTAGGATATTGGCATTTGTTAGTTAAAGGATTAAGTCAAAAGAATGTCTGATGGTAGGAATTTCAAGGTGTAGGTCAGCTATTTCAGAATAGGGGATTGTTTTGATGTGCCTTAAATTATATAAAAGAGTGCTAATTATTCCTCTTTGCCCAAAATACTTGCATCCAACCTTCTACTCTCTGTTGCTGTGCTTGTCTTCAGCCCCATTGCTGGCACCAATGTCCCTCCTTTTCATGGAGACCTATCTGAGGCACAGGATGGGGCTGGCACCAGATGATGTCCCACCACAGACCCTCACCTCTGGCCTCCACACTAGAGAACCAATTTACACTCAACCATGACCTCATCCCTCCGTGGTTTCTCCCTGAATCTGTGGCTCTTGTTGGATGTATTGTCATCTAACAACACAATCCAGAAAGACTGAATTGAATATTTATACTGATGGTCCTTAACCTTTATTGCTCAATGATCTAATTAAAGAGATCATTGCCACATTTCATGTTTATATTTCTACAATCTGTTTAGAAAACATCTTCTGACCATATCCGTAGGTGGTGTCACCTTTTTATCAACTGCTTCCCAGAGTCCTAAAACAACAGAAATTTTTTATTGAAAAGTTCAGCATAAGGAGTTTGAATCAGTAAAGAATGGGCTAAAGGAGAGAAGATTCAATGAAAAGTATCATAAAAAAGAGATTGATCAAGAAGAGAAATTTTAAAACCCAAGAGAAACTGGTAGGAGAGGGGATTTAAGAATAGCAATCGGAAAAACTCTTAAGTCACTCCAAAAAGAAAATGGTATATTTTGCCAAAGACCACTTATACTTGAGAACATGGAAAAACTTGCCTGATACTCTCTTTGGGGAAGAGAGTGTCTCCTCTTTTCCTCAAACCCCAGTTGACTCAGCCCCTCTGCCCCATCTTCTCCTGACTTTGTCCTCACTTCCTTCTGCAGTACATTGGAACCTGAATTGAGAGTCTTTCCTTTAATGAAGTTTGTCTTGAGAGGCAAATATAGCCCCAAGAATCACAAGATTTTAGGACCATGTAGGTCTTTTACATAGCCGAACTCCATAAATTAGTCTCACTTTCTTTCGTATTCATCGTTTCATATTAAACCCTCTATATCAAATGTTCATCATGATTTTGTATGATTTTTATAACTATTTTATTCATTTTATTAGATTTATTCTACAATTTTTTAATGGTAAATTCTTAAACTGTGGAAACCACTGAAGGTGCTTATTAATTGTTCCCCTAGATTTGTATAAGTATTGGATGATTCCTTGAGTTTACAGCTGTACAAATATTAGTGTGGAAAATAAATTTTTTTTTTTTGTTAAAAAGAAAATCTTCCTCTGTCTTTTTTGAATAAAGAGATTTAATGTTGGGTGTAAGGCCGGTTGCCTCGCTGGGAGGCCGGACACAACCACCCCTGCACCCAGCACCTGGCTCTGTGCTTGGCACCTAGCTCTGCCGCATGGCTCCCCTGGAAGGCTCTGGCTGATGCAACCCTGGCCGGCTCTTGTACTAGAAAAACCCACCCAACAACCTGCCAACCAATAGTGGCCTTCCCTGTACCAATCCCGCTCCCCTGGAGCCAATCAGAGCTCAGCTGTTGCTTGTTACCCATAGCCACAAAAACCCCACGTCCCAGGAAGTCAGCAAGACTTCTCTGGCCCCCTTTCCCCAGATCATAGATCCTTGCCCGGGAGCTGAATGAACTGGCATTTAATTTTTTTATACTGGCCTCAGTTTCTTCATTTTAAACTCGGCAATAACCCTTACATTGGGAAGCTCATTCGTGATAGAAAGACAGCCGCTTAATAATCTGCAAAACCTGTGGAACCCAGAAACTCTTCCCCGAGTATTATGAGAGCTGGTAAGTTGCTCAACCACAAAAAACTTACGGGTTGTAATTTACTGAAAAATGAGTAGGCTGGGTGCAGTGGCTCATGCCTGTAATCTCAACACTTGGGGAATATAGTGAGACCCCATCTCTACAAAAAACTTTAAAAAATTAGCCGGGTGTGGTGGCATGCTCCTGTAGTCTCAGCTACTCGAGAGGCTGAGGCAGGAGGATCGCTTGAGCCCAGGAGTTTGAGGTTACAGTGAGGTATGATCATGCTGCTGCACTCCAGCCTGGGCCACAGAGCAGGACCTTGTCAAATAAATAAATAAATAAGCTGTTTTAAAAAATCACTGTTATTCATGAAAAACAAAAACTCCTGGTTACCTAAGGTTGGCAAAATGCCAATTGTTGTGGCTGGCTGAATTCTAAAGATTTTAAGATTCTGATTTAGTACTGCTGTGAAGGGACTTTGCCAATAGAATTTAGATGACTAAGTAGCTGACGTTAAAATAGGGAAATTATCTTGGGTTATATACAGGTAGTTCCTTAAAAACAGAGGAGGAGGCCATGCACGGGGCCTCACGCCTGTAGTCCCAACACTTTGAAGGGTGGATCACCTGACGTTGGGAGTTCAAGACCAGCCTGACCAACGGGGAGAAACCCTGTCTCTACTAAAAATAAAAAAATTAGCCAGGCGTAGTGGCGCTTCCCTGTAATCCCAGCTACTCAGGAGGCTGAGGCAGGAGAATTGCTTAAACCTGGGAGGTGGAGGTTGCGGTGAGCCGAGATCATGCCATTGCACTCCAGCATAGGCAACAAGAGTGAAATTCTGTCTCAAGAAAATAAAAATAAATAAATAAATCAATAAATAAAAGAGGAGGAAGGCAGACGAGTCAGAGAGATAAGGCAGAAGTAGAAAGCAGGAGAGGAGAGGGTGAATGGGGGAAAGGACTCTTTACACTTCCCCTTTAGACTGAACTTAAAATACGTAAGGGTAGCTTTAGGCTAAACTTGGTTTTTTTTGGTTTTTTTTTGTTGTTGTTGTTGTTTTTTAAATGGAGTCTCCCTCTGTAGCCCAGGCTGGACTGCAGTGGAGTGATCTCAGCTCACGGCAACCTCCACCTCCCGCGTCCTGGTTCAAACCATTCTGCCTCAGCCTCCCAAGTAGCTGGGAGCACAGGCACGCGCCACCAGGCCCAGCTAATTTTTGTATTTTTAGTAGAGACGGGGTTTCACCATCACGGCCAGGCTGGTCTTGAACTTCTGACCGAAAGTGATCCACCCGCCTCGGCCTCCCAAGTGCTGGGATTACAGGCGTGGGCCACAACACCCAGCCGCTAAACTTGATTTTTAACAGGGAAAACATAGCTTTGCAACAATTCTTTTAGCGAGTGTTCTGCCGAGCACATCTGAAGACCACGGGTCTGGAAAGAGGCGAAGACGGGGCCCAGAGCCCTCCCCAGCAGTGTCCCTGCCCAGCTCTGATTCTCAAGTCGGGCTGCTGTTTTTCCCTTTCTTCTCTTCGGCCAGGATGTCAGGAGCTGCTGAAAGCTGCAGCCGGAAGAATTTAGAATTCCTTACAACGGAGAAAAGGTCTTTGCTCAGACGGCATGGACTTAAGAGATGGAAGAGCCAAAAAGCCTTGAGAAACAGGCCAAGAGAGGCTTCCTGCTTGCCAGAAGCTTACGTGGGAACAGAGGAGCTTAAATGACAGCCTGCCTGAGTGCTCTCCAGCCCCATGATTCCGTCTAAAGCTGGGCGGGTCTTCTCATAGGCAGTTCCAGAGGCGGCCACGCGAGGGCAGTAAGAGCCTCTCAATGCCTGTTTTTGGGGATAGGGAGAAGTGGGGGCGGGGGGGCGTGTCCCACGCCTGGCTACCCAGATAACTTCCCCAAAAGAAGCCATGCTCAGGCCTTCCCAACGTCTCACTCAAGAGCCTTTCTTCATGCCTATCAGTTGCCTAAACTGCTACCACAGGAACTTACCAAATATGGCCGAGCCTCTTCATCTAAATTAAGATTTCCACCAAATTCAGCACTTTTCCTCCCAAAGTCATCTCCTTACTCAAACAATTGCAGGCGCTCATCACAGGAGATCCCCCAGCTGTGGGCTCAGCATCGTACACCGAGTTACGAATACACGGAAGTGTTCCTGAGTGTATTCTGTGTGTGCAAAAGTGCATGCGTCTCTTCATGGACCTGGTTCTGAGTGAATCTACGTTGAGAACGAAAGGCTAATTCCAGAAAATGCATGGCCTTTGCAAATAAGACATGGTCTTCACCCAGCAAGTGGGTGGCTAGCCAATAAGTAGATATTAATAACAGGTGGTGATAAATGATTGCTTCAAACCACTTTGTTAAGGAGATCAGAGAAGGGAGAAGGCTCAGGAGAGAGTGCAGCAAGGCGCTTTTGTAAGTTGGATGGAAATGGGAAATGGGAACGCCAGCTCGTGATAACCTTATGCGGTAGAATTTATTGTGCCCATTGAGTAAGGCAGGAAGCTGAGGGTTAAGGAGGTGAAGTAACTTGACAAAGGTCACGAGTCAGAGCAGGGTCCAGCTCCAGACTGTTTACTCTAAATACCCTTCCTCAATCCCCTTTTAAAGAAATATCTTAAATAAAAATTTATTTTTACTTTATCTTACGCTTTTATTTATTTGTATTCAGGCCATTTTCACTTAGAAAACTGGAAAATAAAGGTACAAGAAAAGTAAACAACAGTAATTTCATTATTCAGTAATAGCCGCATCAATCCAATCTTGTCCCAGAAATGTTGTAAATACACACACACACACACAATATTGTTACGTATATTTTCTTAAGATATATATGACAAAAAATGGGATCATGTTATACTTTTTAGTATTTTTGTTTCCATTTAAATAAATGTGCATATGAACATTACTTTTAACTACATAATAGTATTATACTCTATTATATAAATGGACAATAAACTTTCATCAACTCATTCATTGATGAACAGTTAGGGTGTTTCTATGTGTTTTTTGATGTGGTAAATAACAATAAACACCCTCATACTAATATCAGTGTCCTCATTAATATCTCTAGGATAAACTTCAACTCACAATTATTTAAAAATTTACGACTTTCACTGCCCAACTGCCTTACAGAAAGTTTGTACCAGTTTATACTCCTACCAGCAGGAGTGTTTGAGAGGGCACATTTTCCTATATTTTTGCCTTTGCATAGTCAATGTTTTCATTTTTGCCAATTACATAGGTGGTGTATTTATTTATTTAGGAGACAGAGTCTCACTCTGTTGCCCAGGCTGGAGTGCAGTGGTGCAATCTCGGCTCACTGCAGCCTCCCCTCCCGGGTTCAAGTGATTCTCCTACCTCAGCCTCCTGAGTTGCTGGGATTACTGGCACCCACCATCATGCCTGGCTAATTTTTTGTATTTTTAGTAGAGACGGGGTTTCACCATGTTGCCGAGGCTGGTCTCGAACTTCTGAGCTCAGACAATCCACCTGCCTCGGCCTCCCAAAGTGCTAGGATTACAGGCATGAGCCACCGTGCCCAGCCTATTTATTAAAATTTACATTATTGACTGGCTGTGGTGATTCACACCTGTAATCCCAGCACTTTGGGAAGCCAAGATGGGAGAATTTGTTGAAGCCAGGAGTTTGAGGCCCAGCCTGGGCAACATAGTGAGACTCTGTCTATAAAAAGAAAAAAAAATTACATTCTTTAAGTTCTGGTAAACTTTTGAAATGCACACTAGCCACTTAAAGTTCTTTTGTCAATTGTCCTTCGAATCCTCAGTTCTTTTTTCTAATTGGGAGACTCTTGCTGATTTATAAGGGTCCTTTACATTTTAAAGCTAATTAACCCTTTGTCATCTATTTTGTAAATAATATTTCCCAAGGGTTTTTTTTTTTTTTCAGTTGGTTTTTTGTTCTTGGGAATTTGGGGACATACAGAAGGTTTTAATCTACATGTAGTCAATTCCAGCTCAGTGTGAATTAGAGTAAAAGAACCAGCCAAGAAGTCAAAAAGCCAAGACTGTCCAGGCTCCACCCTGCGGCAGATGGTATTTTCCAAAATGGCCTCAACACACTCTCCCATCCCACTTACTCTTACAATGGTGTGTCGATGTGATGTTAACACTCCTGTCATCAAGAACTAGGGCCTATGTCCCCTCTCCTTGAATCTGGATTGGCCTAGGACTGTAGCAGAGGGGATGACATGTGGGTTTGAGGCTGAATCTTACAAGGGGAAGCAGCTTCTCCCCAGTCTTTGTGGGATTCTCTGTCTCCAGTTCTGTGGCAGGAGGAAGCTCAGGCCGCATGAAGAGGCCATGTGCCTGGGGTGGCAGCTCCAACTGTAGTCTCAGCCTACCGCAGACATCAATCACTAGACATGCAGACAAAGAGACCTTCCTTTGTGACTCCAGCCCAAGCCACTGTCTGACAGCAATCTTGCAAATCTCACAAGAATGATCCAGGAGACCCCAGTCAACTTCAG